GAATTTGTCTCAATATTATGTATTTATGCACTTTTCCGAGGTTCTTGAGCTTCAACCCAACCAAAGTAGAGTGTTCAATATCACCCTCAATGGGAACCTTTTTTATGGACCTCTAACTCCAAGTTACTTGACCACTCTAACTGTTTCCAATGAAGATCCATTGGATGCAACAGATGAGCTTGCATTTTCTTTCATTTCGACCGAGAATGCGACGCTTCCTCCCATCATCAATGCTCTCGAGATATATTATGTGAAAGACGTGATCGAGTTAGAAGCAAATCAAGGAGATGGTATTCTTCTTTAACTTCCTTTTGTGTGTTTATTGGACGTTAATCAACACTAATGTGATTTTTGTTTGGATAATTAGTAAGTGCCATTACCAATATCAAGTTAAGTTATGGGATAAAGAGGGATTGGCAAGGAAATCCATGTGTGCCAATGGAATACCCTTGGAGTGGATTGCGTTGTAGCAATGCAACTGATCCAAGAATCATATCCTTGTAAGTTCAAGCCTTCTATGAATTCATGAGATCATATGAATACATGAGAAAATGTGAATTTTTGTGTATTACAGGAATCTATCAGCAAGTGGATTGAGAGGTGAAATATCTTCTTACATAGCAAATCTAACAAGGTTGCAAACACTGTAAGTGTCTCTCTGTTAGGAAGCATGAATGTCAGTAATGCTTTAGGCATTGGAATTCAACTTAATAACCTGATCTCTCTTAGGGACTTGTCCCACAATGAATTGACTGGAGAACTGCCAGAGTTCTTAGCAAATTTGCCAAATTTGAGAGTTCTGTAAGTTTCTTAGCTTTAATTCTGCCATCCACAGCATGAAATGCCAAGTGAAAATTGAAGTTCATCTATTTCTTTACTGTGTTTTGCAGCATTTTAACCAGAAACAAGCTCACAGGCTCAGTTCCTGAAGTTCTCTTGCAAAGGGCTGAAGCTAAATCACTTGCATTAAGGTTCCCTACACTTCATTCTAAGTTACCTTCTAATTCTAGAACTCTCATATAAATGAAAATTCATTTTCTTAAACCTGATAGTGTCTTCTGCTTGTGTAAGTGTTGGTGAAAATCCAGATCTTTGTACATCACTTAAATGTGATAACATGAGGAAGAACAACAAGAGGAACAATTACTTTCTTCTTCTTCTAGCTCTAGCTCTGCCCCTATCTATCATAATGGTTACTCTAGTAATCTACAAAAGAAGGAAACAAAGAGGTAAATCTCTCATCTCTTCTGCTACTTCTGTTACTTCTTTGATTCAAGCGTGGACAAAGCAACTTGGGCAAAATGGATGAAATTTTTCTGAATGATCAGAGATTTAACCGACATAGATCAATAACTTAAATGTGAGATCCCACATCGGATGGAGAGGGGAACGAAGCATTCCTTATAAGGGTGTGGAAACCTCTCCCTAGAATACGCGGTTTAAAAACCTTAAGGAGAAGCCCTAAAAGAAAAGTCCAAAGAGGATAATATCTGCTAACAGTGGACTTAGGCTATTGTAAATGGTATCAGAGTTAGTCACTGGACAGTGTGTCAGCAAGATGCTGGCCCCCTAAATCTCACATCAGTTGAAGAGGGCAACAAAACATTCCTTATAAGGGGTGAAAACCTCTCCCTAGCATACATATTTTAAAAACCTTAAGGGGAAAGCCCAAAAAAAGCAATATCTACTAGCAGTGGGCTTAGGCTGTTGCAAATGATATTAGAGCTAGTCATCGAGCGGTGTGTCAGCGAGGACGCTGGTCCCTTAAACCCTACATTTGTTGGAGAAGGGAACGAAACATTCTTTATAAGGGTGTGGAAACCTTTCCCTAGCAGAGGGATTTTAAAACCCTTGAAGGAAAAGCCCAAAGAGGACAATATCTTCTAACGTTCGACTTGGGCTGTTGCAAATGGTATCAAAGTTAGTCACCGAGCGGTGTGCCAGCGAGGACACTGGCCCCCAAGGGGATTGATTGTGAGACCCCATATCGGTTGGAGAGGGGAACAAAACATTTCTTATAAGGGTATGGAAACTTCTCCCCGACAAACGCATTTTAAAAATCTTAAGGTGAAGCCTGAAAGAGAAAACCCAAATAGGACAATATCTGCTTACGGGCTTGGCTTGGGCTGTTACATTAACGATTTCGATAATAGAAGTCGTGCTTATGGGTTATAAAGTTAGTTTAGTTTCACGTTAGGTTGACAATGAACTCCTTTGTTAGTTGGAGTCGACCGTCAGCATGTCACGTCCTAGGTTAGGTAGGGTGATCTGAAGCGCGTATTTTCACTCGTAAACGTGTAGAATAAACCAAAATGTGTCTGGTTTTTCTTGTTGCAGCAGAGCAGCTGAAAAGATCAATCCAGAAAAGGTTGCTTAGTTCAAAGAACCAACAAGTTCGTTACTCTGAGATATTGGCTATAACAGATAACTTGAAAACTTCTATAGGAGAAGGAGGTTTTGGAAAAGTATATTTGGGTGTACTGAGTGATAAAGTTCAAGTGGCCATTAAGTTGCTATCTGCATCATCACGCCAAGGCTCAAATGAGTTCAAAGCAGAGGTTAGTGTTCTTCTGTTGATAAAATTTGGTTGTACTAAAAGTAATATCTGATATATTGTGTTTGTTACTGTAGGCTCAAATATTAGCCATTGTTCATCATAGAAATCTGGTTTCTCTCGTTGGTTACTGTGATGAGGCTGAGAATAAGGCGCTCATTTATGAATTTATGGCTAATGGAAATCTACGCAAAAATCTATCTGGTAATTAACGTTATCTTATAAGAAGAGATCTCTTTAAAGCGTATATATCTTGATGACTTGATATGAATCACAAAACTTTAATCCAGCTTCAAATGTTCAATTCAATTGCTTCAACGACCTCTATTCATGTCCAAAACTGCTTCTCTATCAAGAGCTTTTATCTATATTGATTTGGGGTTTAAGTGCCTGTGGTTCATGCAGTTTCTATATCAGGCTTTGTTTTGAGTTTCTCCAAATGACCTTATACCAATAAAGATAATATTCCTTGCTTATAAATTTACGATCTTCTCCTTAATTAGCCAATGTGGGACTCCTATCTCAACAATCCTCACCGTCTTCTATGAGGCCTATGGGGCCCTCGAACAACTTTACTTAATCGAGGCTCGACTCCTTTAGAGCCCTCGAACAAAATACACCCATTGTTCGACACTTGAGTCATTTTTTACTATACTTTCAAGGCTCACAACTTCTTTGTTCGACACTTGAGAATTCTATTGACATGGCTAAGTTAAGAGCAGATAGCATGTTAGGAACCACGACCCTCCACAATGGTATAACTTTGCTTTTGGTTGTTTCAAAAGGCCTCGTACCAATGGATATAGTATTCCTTATAAATCTATGGTCTTTCCCGTAACTAGCCAACGTAGACTCCTCTCCCAAAAATTCTCGACATGTTAACTATATATGATCATTTTGTTTACACCTCTTTGCAGATTCAACAACTAAGGTCTTGAGTTGGATGCAAAGACTCCAAATTGCACTTGACGCAGCTCAAGGTATATATATAAACAACACAAAAACTTATTAGTTCATACATTTTTTTTTTTTTTTTCTATTACTTACCCTTGTGGTTTGTGACATCTAGTAAACCAACTGCAGGGCTGGAATATTTGCACAATTGTTGCAAGCCGCCTATCATTCATAGAGATTTGAAGACTTCAAACATCTTATTGAATGAAAAAATGCAGGCTAAGATATCAGATTTTGGACTGTCCAGGATATTTGCAAATGAAAATGATACTCATTTGGCCACATGCCCTGCCGGCACCTTTGGATATGTCGACCCGACGTAAGTATCACAATCAATTGATTTTTTCATGTTCCGTCTTAAACGAGTAATATACCATCCTTAACTTTAAATTTTTTTAACAGTTTCGAAACAACTAGAGTCTTTTAAAGTTCAAAGAAGCATCTTATTCAAAATAGAGAGTTATTGCAGGATCCATTTGTCTGGAAACTTCACCAAGAAAAGCGATGTTTATAGTTTCGGGATCGTGTTATTCGAGTTGATCACAGGGCAACCTGTCATAATCAGTAGTTCTGAAAACAACATCCACATAGTGGATTGGGCAATGCCTCTGATTTCAGAAGGAAGGCATGAAAGCATTGTGGATCAAAGATTAGAAGGCCCCATAGAAAGTTGTTCAGCTAGAAAATTTATGGAGCTGGCTTTGTCTTGCACACACCCAACTTCAGCACAAAGGCCTGAAATGAGCGATGTGGTGAAACAACTGATTGAGTGTCAAGAAATGGCTCAGAACAGACCACCTGCACATACGCCACTTAACAATCAAAATATTTCTTATACTTCAATTGGCTCTGATTCAATTTTAAGTCCCAGGTAGAATTCAAACAAATCATACGTTTAATGTTGACAAATGAAGTATTTGTAACGCCCAAGGTCAAGATTCAAATTCGATACTTGATAGTTCGGGTATTTCCATGCCGTTCTTACGTCATGGGCACGTTACTTCTCTCTTCTAAGAGTAAAAACTATCTCTACATGTCAACATGTGTCTTTTTAACCTGTTTTATATTTACTCGAAAATTCTTAAGAGGTCCGTCAACGTAAGTTTGCTCCAAATTAAACATACATAACTTTAGAGTTATTATGATTGAGGTATCGAAAATAAAGGTATGCCTGGTTGATATAGGTACTAACTCTAATACTTTTCAATCGTGTCTCAAACATTTTATTCTCAGATATTCTTATTTAGACATGATATCAGTTTATTCATATATCTCTTATTTATTTAGGTGTCACATCATATATAAATAATAATAGGTTAACGAGCAAATATAATCCAAGCATAATTTTTTAAGCTATGATTTAAAACATTATTAAAAATAGAGAGATAAATGTTAAAAAATTTGAACTAAAATGAAAAAAAAAATTTGAAATTACTTAGTTTGACCAAATTTATTTAAAAAAGTCGGCGGCTTCCCCATGTGGCCAGAAGATGAAGATTTGTTGAACATGGATGCCAATGGCGTAGCCCTCTTCTGCAATCGAGTAGCCTCAAATGGAATTCATCCGACACCGTCCCAAAAATTTCGCCATAAATTATTCGGCTTAGGGTTTGTCTTTTTCCTTGAAATCCCTAGAAGTGGAGGACTTCTCTTCTTTAATTATTCAATCTGCCTACTATAATACTATATGATTGATCGTCATTTCTACGTTTCTTCGATATATTATTAGGAGATTGCGACTTGGAAATTTCCTTTTGACATTGTTACGATAATCACTAATGGTTTTTTCAAACAGCCCCGAACTCATTGATAAACAAAAGCGATATAGTTTCCTTTCGATGTTTTGATTCAAAAGAATTTTAAATTTTTATTGTTTATACTTGGTCAACTTGCATGTGTAATGTGTTCTTTAATCTCCCATGTTGTAAAGAGAATTCCTCTTGTGACGACTTTCTATTATTGTCTCGGGCTTACTACATTTTCCTCAAGATGTAGATATGGCTGCTTTCTCAATTGTCGTGAATCAAAGAAGCCAATGGTAGCCCCTAGAGGAAGAGGATGATGATAATGGGAACATCAGGGCATTCCCTGTTTGGTTTCCTGCTCAGTTGCTTGGCATTGGCTTTTCTACTTCTTGTTCAAGCTCAGGATCAGTCAGGTGAAACATTTGCTTTCCTTGGTGATTAACCTATTCAACTTCTTTCAAGTATATATAGAAACTTGAAGTTTAATTTTGTTGTTATTTGTTTTTCAGGCTTCATTAGTTTAGACTGTGGATTACCAGAGGGTACTAGTTACACCGAAAAGACGACCAAAATTAACTATGTTTCTGATGCATCCTTCATAAACACTGGGGTTAGTCGAAGTGTAGATTCGGCATATGGAGATTCAGATATGTATGAAATGCAATTGAAGAAGCTGAGAAGCTTCCCTGATGGAATCAGAAACTGTTACAATATAAGCATTATAAGGGCCACTGAATACTTGATTCGAGCAAGTTTCTTGTATGGAAATTATGATGGTCTGGATTCGCCACCGATGTTTGATATCTACATTGGGAATAGCTTATGGGAGACATTAAACGTAACTGGAAATGATATGGGTGTTTCCATAGAACTTATACACGTAACCTCCTCAGATGAATTTCACATCTGTCTGATCAATACTGGAAATGGAGTACCATTTATTTCTGCATTGGAATTTAGACCTTCGCCCAACATCACTTATTATACACCATCAGCATCCTTATCAGTTTTCGATCGATTGAACTTCGGTTCAGCAGATGGTCAAAATTACAGGTATATATATACATATTACAGTTAATGAAAAGAGGGATACTTTAACGATTTAGAGATGCTAACATAATATTTTGTTTTTGTGGTTACACTTTCTGAAGATTTCCTTTGGATGTTTATGACCGCATCTGGTCAACATTTAACTCTAAGGATTGGACACGAGTAAGCACCAATATTACTGTAGATGTTAGTGGGGGCGAAACTTTCCATCTTCCATCCATTGTCATGAATACTGCCTCCACTCCAAAGGATGCGAGCACGACTCTGGAGATTTCATGGGATACAATAGATTCATCTCGATACCTTGTACTTATGCACTTTGCTGAACTTGTGATTCCTCAAGTCAATCAAAGCAGGGAGTTTAATGTCTGGCACAATGCACACTTTTATTCAGGAACTATAATTCCAAAATATTTGTCTTCGATGACCGTTTTGTCTCCACGACCATTGGAGGCAGCAAGTAGTCATTTACTTTCTTTCATTCCAACTGAGAATTCGACGCTTCCTCCTATCATCAATGCTTTTGAATTATATGGGATGAAAGAAATATCAGAGTTAGAAACAGAGCAAGGAGATGGTATCTTTCTTTAGACGCACTTTCTGAGTTCACTTATTCAAAGTCGATGAATACTAATTTGATTTCTTCTTTGGATAATTAGTGGATGCAATTACCAATATTAGGTCAAATTATGGAATAAAGAAGGATTGGCAAGGCGATCCATGTGTGCCAATGGAATACACTTGGAGTGGATTAAATTGTAGTAACAAAACTGCTCCAAGAATCATATCCTTGTAAGTGCAGGTCTTCTGTTAAAATTCTTTATTTATATGAAGGATGGATCTTATGAATTCACGAGGAAGTGTTAATTTTTTGAACAGGGACATATCTGGAAGTGGACTGATAGGTGAGATATCTTCTTACATATCAAATATAACCATGTTGCAAATTCTGTAAGTATCTCTCTTTGATAGGAAAATATTATTGATATTATTAGCTAGGATATTAAGGAGGCACAATTGTTTTAGATAAGGAGTTTGTTAGAAAAGTGGTTGTCAATACAGTAGGCTAGACGGGTTTGAAATTGCCAGAATTTGGAGAATAGTTCTTATGGGAGTAGCCTTGCCAGCAAGGTTGTTCCAGATTTGTTACGGTTGAAATATCATCACTAGCCCAATAGAGTCAAGCTCAATAATTGTACGAGCCCATTGTATATTTATTTTAGTAGAGATTTTAGGAAAGATACTTAGAGGTTTTAGGAGAAAGAGATCTAGATATTTTAGGAAAAAGATTCCGATTTGTCAGGTTTAGATTTGGATTTGTCAGGTCTAGATTTAGATTTGTTAGGTCTAGATTGCGTAGGCTCTAGTATAAATACCTCTCCACCCTACCTAGGTTATTCATCCAAGAAATACAATAAAAAAACAAAAAGTATGCTACAAAGTGTCTTGTATTCTCTTCTCGATTGGTCTTAATAAAGAGTGCGAGTGTTTCCCACAGAGAGTTGTGTTCAACAGTTACAACATCATGGTTCAGCATAAATGTTCTGAAATTTTACCAAATAACTCAATTAAATGTGTAATTAGGCTCGATTTATGCTAATTGATTTTCTTTTCCTGTTGAAGCACAATAGACTATTTCATACTTACTAATTAGAATAAATGGAGTAATTAATGAGAAAATGGTTTGTATTAGTGCAAAATTAACTACAAAAAGACTTGATATGCTCTACTTTTTGGAGAGTTATCAAGCCTTTCGATGTAATTAATATTGTAATTTTCCTTTCTTATTTCCTTTTCTATCCCTTTATATTGCAGTTTTTGTGTCCTATCTTATGCTAACTCAATATCCTGTTCTGTATTAGGGATTTGTCCAATAATGGGTTGACTGGAGAGATACCGGAATTCTTAGTAAATTTGCCTAATCTAAGAATCCTGTAAGTCTCTTAGTTGTAATTTTGACACCCAGAACTTTAAATTTTAGTTGAAAATTGAAGTTTGTTTATCTTTTTACTTTGTGTGTCTTCGCAGTTCTTTAACCAGAAACAAGTTCACAGGCTTAATTCCCAAGGTTCTCTTGCAAAGAGCTGAAGCTGGATTGCTTACATTAAGGTAAGCTATCTATTTACTCTAAGTTATATTTCATTTTCTCTATTTACTTCACTGCCATGTTGCCGCCTACTAATTCTACTGTTTTCATATTGAATAACGAACACTAACTGAAAAGTCAAATGGAAATTCATTTGCTTTAACCTGAAATTTTCTTCTGCTTGTAAAAGTGTGGGTGAAAATCCAGATCTTTGTACATCACTTAAATGTGATAACAAGAAGAAGAAGAAGAAAAAGAGGAACAAGTACTTGGTTCCTGTAATTCTCGCCAGCATAATAGCTGTGTTCCTACCTATCCTTATAATTACTCTAGTAATCTACAAAAGGAGAAGACAAAGAGGTAAATATCTCATGTCTTCTGTGTCTGTACACTGCTAATTCCAGCATATTTATAGTAACGACAATGAAACTGATGTGAATAGCGAAAATCGAAAAGAATTCCTAGATGACTAACGACTTCAAAAGTGTTGAATGAACCAAAATGTTTCTGTTTTACTCGTTGCAGAGAATCTCAAACGATCAATCCAAGAAAGGTTACTTAAGTCGAAGAACCAACAAGTTCATTACTCTGAGATATTGGTTATCACAGATAACTTTAAGACAACTCTTGGGGAAGGAGGGTTTGGAAAAGTATACTTGGGTGTACTGAGTGATAAAACCCAAGTTGCTGTCAAGTTGCTGTCTTCAATATCACAGCAAGGCTACAACGAATTCCGAGCTGAGGTTTAGTTTTTCTTGGGTGCAAATTTACTTGAACTGAATTAATTACTTCCGAATAAACTATATTTGCAAATGCAGGCTCAAATACTAACAGTTGTTCATCATAGAAATCTGGTTTCTCTTGTTGGTTACTGTGATGAAGCTGAGAATAAGGCACTCATTTATGAATTCATGTGTAACGGAAATTTAGGCAATCATCTATCTGGTAAATTATGATTTTGGCTTAAAAGAAAGATTATCCTCGACTCTTTGTGATAACTTTTTCTCTTTGCTGATACAGATACAAGCGCAAAGGTGTTGAGTTGGATGGAAAGACTCCAAATTGCAGTTGATGCAGCACAAGGTATAAATAAATATCAAACAATAAAACTGACGTCGAATAAACAAACTGCATAGTCTTATTTGCCTTCCCTGTTTGGATTGTGACAACTGACGTCGAATAAACAAACTGCAGGATTAGAATATTTACACAATGGTTGCGTGCCTCCCATCATTCACAGAGATATTAAGTCTTCTAATATCCTATTGAATGAAAAAATGCAAGCTAAAATATCTGATTTTGGACTGTCTAGAGTATTTGCAAATGAAAATGATACTCATTTCTCCACATGTCCTGCTGGCACCTTCGGTTACGTCGACCCTACGTAAGTAACACTGATTGATCTGCTTTGTGTTTATATTTATGTAGTTACTTTTAAAAAAAATCGATAAGCTTCTAGTTTTTGATTTGATTCGTCATAATATGGCAAAATAAAGTGTGTTAGCTGGTCAAAATAAAATGAAATATGAAACTTATCCACTTTCTGTAATAACGGATTCAATCCCTTGTAGACCATAACAATGTATTTTTCCTGATGTTAAATCAATCAGACTTTTTCAAACACAACTTTCAAAGGTCAAAAACTTAATTGTGAGATCCCACGTCGGTTGGGGAGGAGAACGAAACATTCTTTAGAAGGGTATGGAAACCTCTCCCTAGCAGAGACGTTTTAAAATCTTTGGGGAGAAGCCCGAAAGGGAAATCCCAAAAAGGACAATATCTGCTGGCGGCGAGCTTAGGCTGTTGCAAATGGTATCAGAGCTGGCACAGTGCACACGAGGCGGTGTGCCATCTAGGATGTTGTGATCTAAAGGGGGATGGATTGGGGGGTCCCACATCGGTTGGAGAAGGGAAAGAGTGCCAGCGAAGACGCTGGACCCCGAAAGGGGGTGGATTGTGAGATCTCACATCGGTTGGGGAGGAGAACAAAACATTCTTTATAAGGGCGTGTAAACCTCTCCCTAACAGATGCGTTTTAAAAATCTTGAGGAGAAGTCCGGAAGGGAAAGCCCAAAGAGAACAATATCTGATACCGGTAGGCTTGGATGGTTACATTCCTGCTTTTCTTACTATTTAACCAGAATCCAATGTCTGAAGTGTCCATTTGCTCAGTGCCGTAATATAGCAAAAGAAACATCTTGTTGCAGGGTTCATTTATCCAGAAACTTCATCAAGAAAAGCGACGTTTACAGCTTTGGAATTATATTGCTTGAGCTGATCACTGGACATCCTGCCATAATCAAGAGCTCTGAAGTGAACACTCACATAGTTGATTGGGTTAAGCCTCTGATTTCCGAAGGGAACATCGAAAACATTGTCGATCCAAGGTTAGAAGGCTCTATTGAAAGTTGTTCTGCAAGGAAATTTGTGGAGCTTGCTCTATCATGCACATTGCCAACTTCAGCTGGAAGGCCGGACATGAGTGATGTGGTGTTGCAACTCATTGAGTGCTTGGAGATTGTTCAAGACAGAACTCCACCAATTCCACCTAACAATGCTGAGAACTTCTCACACAATTCAATTGGCTCTGTTTCATTTGTTGGTCCCAGATAGAGATTAATGTCTTTTCTTGGTTGTTGTGATGAGGCTTTGAACCAAACTACGCAACCATCAATCCGGTAATTATGATATTGTCTTGAGACTATGAAATTTCTCAAAAATGTATGCATATTTATGGCTTGTTGACTATAATACGATGCTTTTTTTCCCCTTTTTCTGAAACAGATTCGAGCACAAAAGTCTCGAGTTGGATGGAAAGACTCCAAATTGCAGTTAATGCAGCACAAGGTGAATATAAATATGGGCAAATTTTAAGTACTTTTGTTTGAAGTAACGAACCATTTTTCGAGGGACTCGAGTCAAGAAACTTATTGACATGGAAATAAGTAAAAATGCGTAGAATTTAAAACTTGCATGCACATGAAAAATGTTTAGATTTAGTAAGATATTAATTGATGTATATACAAAAGAACATGACACATAGTTCGTAAAAATCCAGAAATACAAGAAAAACATCGAGATTCGTAAGGAAAACGTATCAGGAAAACGTATGAACTCAAACTTGCGTTCTACTGCTACTATTGTTCCCACTTATTCTCTACAACACTGAGCTGTCTTACTCTTGCTACACGCTCAACCGCTGCCTTAAATAGACCCACATCCCTCTCTTCTCCAAAAACGGCCTCAAACCGAGTAGTGTACAGAACTGCAACAAAGCACGCTTTCTCTTTGTTTTTTTTTTTCTTTTTTGTTAGTTCTTGAGTTTTAAGTTTTTTTCTTTTCAAAATTGTGAAATTTAGAGTGAGTATTATTGTGGGCTCATTGAGTTTCCAACATATAGCGAATATTGTGAAGTCTTTAAATATCTTAATGAATTAAAAACTCGAAGCCAAAGGTATCATATTTTGGACTTTCAAGAGTATTTGCAAATGAAAGTGATACTCATTGATCCATGTCAATGCAGATCATTGTACTCGTAGAAATCCTCAAAGAAAACATCAAAAACATTGTCAATCTAAGGTTTCGAAGGCTCCATACAAGATTATTTTTGTTCTTGTTCTTGTTCTTGCAAAGCATCAACTTCATAACAAAGGTCCGACATGAATGATGGGGTGCAACAACTCAACTTTTGATCAATCATACTTGCTTTAACCGGTTACTCTATATTTAGATCCATAGATTCTACAACTTTCATGTTTTAGCTCCTTCTTCAGAATTATCCGAATAAAAAAAAAAAAAAATCTAAGCTAAATTTTGAAAAAGAACATATATATATATATATATATATATATATATATATATATATAATTCTGTTACAAATTTTTATATTGATTATAGAGTAAAACAGTGTGTTGTACATATTTAGCCCATATCAATAAATCCATGACATTGACAGATGAATCGCATATCCCTTTCTTTTCATGCTCTGTCCTTCAACTTGCTAACCTAAAAAATTTATTTATAAAAAAAAAAAAAAAAAATCATGTACCAACACAAATTCTTTCGACATATTTCGTTAGCTGGCATGCTTTTTTAAAAAAAATGAAAAAAATCACCCAACACAAAATTATTTTTATTCAAACGTGCCTTCGTTTTACTCATGTTTTCTCCTTAATCAAACGTCACAATAAACTCATTTCAATAATCATTTTATTATTATTTTTTAAAATCATAAATACTGCTTTCGCTCTAATTTTTTTCTCTTGAGTATTTTAAAAAAAAAAAATCACGATATTTGTATTAGTGAAGAAATTGAGGTAAAAATTATTACTAACGTCATGCTGTACTATGTAGAAAATGTCGAGATTGTGACTAAAAATGACGTGAATTAGCAACACTATCGCTGTCTCATTAACCTCATCGAGCTTTCTCCTACCTACTTTCCTCACTTTTTTGCCAGTCCCTTCATAATCCAAAAAAATCTTTTATATATATATATATATATATATATTAAAATATCATTTCTAGCTTAATAGAGTTTTAATAGTTATAAATACTAGTAAAAAGGGGAATATATCATTCTTTTATTATATATAAAATTTGAAAAAATGGAAAATATGGTAAAAGTAACTCAAATGGGTTCTTTTTAATCATTTATTATTATATGAATTTGTATCAATAAGCATCTTAATTTTAAAGCTTAAACTGAAATTTATAAATATTTAAAAAAAAATAAAAAATGAAAATATGTATATTATGAAATAGGGCCCTAATAAATAAATATCATAAACATGGGTGGTTGAGTGAAGCTGATTGCGTTGAATGTATATTATCTATAAACCAACTGGAACCATTTATTCTCTCAAATATTTTGTATTAGAACACACAACTTGTTGGTTTCATTCAATGAATCCGTTTATAATATATATATATATATATATATAAACACTCTTAAAATATCTTTAAATTTTTTAAAATTTCCTAAAACTTCTCTTAATTTTAAAAATATCAAGAAAATATTAATAATAAACTTCTACAAGTAACTTTTTAAAAAAAAAAAAATTAATACCCAACCGTATTTTTACATTAAAGGTATATTTATTAATTTATAGGTATTTGAATTTTCATTAATTAATTATTATTATTATTTTTTTTTTTGAAGGTTAAGATGGTAGTAGTTATAAAGATTTTAGAGGAGAATTGAAAGTAAACATTAATTATTTGAATTTTTTGTAAGCATATTAATTAATTATGTTGAGTTTGGAGATTTTGGTGTTATTTTCGTTGGTTAATTGTTATTTGTTCGAACATTTATGAGGTGGGCTTCAAATTTTAATCCTAAATAATCTTAGTCTAAAATTGCACGAAAATCATCGATACTACTACGTCCATAATTGGTGCTTAAATTGGATATTCATTCATAAGAAGAGGCCAATCCGATTAGCAAATTATGGGAGTAATAATAATTTTGTGTTTAATGAATCCTTAAATGACAACGACATTCAAAATTGAAATATACGACGGAGAGGGAGGTATAAGGGCAAGTTTGTAATTTAGCCAAAGTTTTTATTTATATACGTGAGTTGGGAGTGTAAACATGAAATAAATAGGATTCCCCAAGCGCATGCACAGCACAGGAGAAGGAGATGGGTGCGTTTATGTGGTTTGTTTGTGCAATATTTTTAGCCTTGCCCAGCTCCAATGCGGCTCAACAACCCATCGCCGCCGCCTCCGCCGCCGCCACGATATTCCCGGCGATACTCACTTTCGGCGACTCCGCCTTGGATGTGGGTAACAACAACAACCGGTTCACCCTGTTCAAGGCCAACTACCATCCTTATGGTCGGGACTTCATCAACCATAAGCCCACCGGCAGGTTTTGTAATGGAAAACTCGTTTCTGATATAACTGGTACTCTCTGTTTCCTAATATTCTTATTTCTTTTAATAATTTATTATCATTTTTTTTTTCTCTCTAGAGTAATTATTATTATTATTATTTAAATAGGAACATTATTGCTTTTTTTAATTATTTTTTTTAAAAAACCCAAAATTATTGAGTTATATTTCCGCTTTTACCCATCTAAAATCAGACTGTGCCATGGGACGGGAACAAAAACTTAGATTTGGTTGAATCTCTTGATTATTACAGGATATTTGCATGTTAAAGATTATTGAAAAGAATTTCACGTTAATTAATTAAGAAGAAAATCATGTCGAGTCTCGATTATGGGGAGACGAAATTGTATGATACAAATTCTAAAAATAATGAAATCTAACTATATAAAAAAATTAATTATAAAATAATTTCTTAAATGCCAATTATAGATGTTGGAAGGAAACTATATATATATATATATATATATATATATATATATATATATATATATATTTATCTACCACCTATTTCAATCTCCCATTAAAAAATTTATTTATTTTCACGAAAATTATTTATTTATTTCCAGAAAGTGGAAGGGAAACATTTTTTTTTTTCTTAATTATTAAAGATGTGAAACGGTAACATTTTTAATTAAATTCCCACAGCCGAAAACCTCGGTTTTGAGAGCCACCAACCGGCGTATCTCAGCCCAGAGGCTTCCGGCCGGAATCTTTTAATCGGAGCCTGCTTCGCCTCCGCCGCCGCTGGCTACGATGAGCAAGCTTCAATTTCCAATGTATCTTCTCCTCTTTATTTGAAACCCTAATGTTTCTGAATCGTTGAAAACAGGATCTAATCAATGCGATTTTGATTTCCTTTTCCTTTCTTGTGTTCTTTAGCGTGCGATTACTTTGGCTCAGCAGTTGTCTAATTACAAAGAGTACCAAAGCAAGGTGGCTATGGTGGCCGGCCGTGAGAAAGCGGCCGCCATTGTTAAAGATGGATTGCACATACTGAGCTGCGGTACCAGCGACTATCTCCAGAATTATTACACAAATCCGGCGGTTCGTAGACGGTTCACTCCCGATCAGTACTCCTCTTTCCTTGTTGCTTCCTTATCCAAATTCATCAAGGTACAAAATATCTGTAGTTTAAATGTCCATTTAAATACATTTTTTTTTAATATAATGTTAACGAACATTGAAAAGTATTTATAAAGATACACGTATAGGTATGAATAAAGAATACGATACCCTTAGTAGGAGAATACATGTTCATTATGTATTAAATTTTCTGAGGAACATGGTATAATTCTAGAATGGAAACTTTTTAGACTACATTTATTCATTGTTTGACCATATAGCAACATTTAAGAATAAAATATGGAACCATGAAATGAATTAATATGTCATCAAGTCAAATTACGAATTAAAGAAATAGGTATTACGATAGCACTCATAATATTTTTATACAATTTTCCATTATGGCACTTGTGTAGTGTAAAATGAGAACTGAGAAGTAGTATACAAGTTGAGCTAGGAAACTTTTTTGGACTGACCCGAAATTTTGAATTGGTTGGGTTGATGATCTGTTCACCTGGGTTTCTAATTCAACACTCTATTTATGGGTTGGGTGTGGTTTATTAATAACTAAAATCTCATAAAACTCAAATATCAATCATTCACTAGTCAAGTTCATAACAATCTTAAAAGTAGGATAGCCTTGGGTTTAGTTGTGTACCCTACTATCAGGTTCTCGGCTAAAAATGAATTTTCAATTTTTAAAAAATTTATCCCGAACCTGAATCGAAAACAGTCTAATCCAACTTAAGCCTTATAGTTTGAATTGTTCGAGAAATGGTTAAATTCTCTATGAGGAAAGAATAAGATAGTAATAAGCATTCATTTCTCATAGGACCACGTTTGGGGCAGCAGGAAATTCATGGCTAAGGCTGCGGCCAAGTATTTATTATTGTTTTTCTTCTTTGAGCTCAGCTCATAAATTTACATTGATTTTCCTGTCTGATTGGTTGGATAGGGAGAAAATGAAAACAGCCACCTAAAGAACGTTAAAAAAATAAAGAGATTTAATTGATCATTAATTTTAAATGAAGATCCAGCTAAATAACACTGTTCATATTCAACCATAGAATAGTGATATGATACAGTACAGAAAGTAAGTAATGATTTTGAAACATGCATATCTTAAAAATTTTATTCTAAAGGATACTTTATGATAAAAACTTTATTATAATAATATATTTCACCTCATTAAAAGCATGGAAGAAGAATCTTTTTGGAGTCACATTTTCCCCCTCCCTTTGATAGTTCATTTCATTTATGACTTAACAGAAATTGACAGCTCTCCAAACAAGTATGGAACTCTCTGGTTTTTTGAACTGTATAGTCCTATTTGATGATGAATTCATGTCCACATGCCAGCCAGCCAATGATATTGTTTGATGTTGTGTGGTTTTGTTGTTTATTTCTGACGTCTGCTGTAAATTTTGAAGTCAGAAGGATGGTTTAAGCAAATATTGTTTCTATTTTGGTCCATTTTACTTGGTTTTTTTAAGCAGATTAGCTTTATAAAAGTCATGAATATCGAAGTGTTTATGCATCTCTAAGTGTTCCTAATAACATTGGATGGAGGATTTGTGGCTTTGATGAAGGATTTACATGGGCTAGGAGCAAGGAAAATTGGGGTCACCTCAATGCCTCCATTAGGTTGTTTCCCTGCTGTACTCACTCTGTTTGGTTACCAACAACAAAAGGGTTGTGTCCGAACAATCAACAATCATGTCCTAGTTTTCAATAGGAAGCTCAATTCTACTGCTGCAACTCTTCGCAAGCAGCTTCCTGATCTCAAACTCGTAGTCTTCGACGTTTTCAATCCTTTGTATGATGCTATTATGTCTCCATCGAGCTATGGTACTTCACGGACATTAGAATAATTTTCAAACATTCGGGTGCTAATTCAAAGTAATGATGCTGTGTTTTTTGTTTTTCGCTCAAGGATTTGATGAAGTGAGAAGAGGCTGCTGTGGCACTGGGGCGGTGGAGACGGCCTCGGTTTTGTGCAATCCAAAATCTCATGTAACATGTTCTAATGCGACCAAATATATGTTCTGGGACAGTGTTCATCCATCTCAGGCTGCCAACCAGATACTTGCTGATGCTATGCTTGTCCAAGGCTATGCTCTCATCTGACCATCACCGTATGAACTGTTTTAGTTTCACTGTTTTTCCAAATGTTTCTGGATTATCCCCATTTGTACTAGTTATTGTGTAGTAATCTTGGGACAGCTGATAAAGATTTGATATGCATTTGATTGTATTCAGTACCAAAACATTGGATCAACTTGATGCAAGAACAAGGGCTGATAGAATTAAGTATTCCTTGAGATTCATTGAACAGGAAATCCATAATGACATATTATCTGTCACAATGGCTTGATAAGATTAATTTTGTTAGGTTTGATCTCATACAAGTAACATCACAACATTCAGTTATTTATGTTACAAAGTTTCCATATGAACAGTATGTTATTACATTAGCAGGTTTTATGAACAGTATGGTATATTAGTAGCACTAACTACTGAGCCCCTCAACAAAATACTGTGTAGGAACAGGTGATGACTCCATTGAAAGCTAGACAAGCTTTCCGATGTTTAAATTGAACACATGGGTGCAACCTTCCGGCGAGGTTGGTTCTTATCTCCCCTGGTGTTTTTCAACACTTCAGCATATTTCAACAACTCGGACTTCTCAGACTTGTTGGACTTGTCGGTTGATTCTGTTTCCTGACTTGAAGATCTATACAACGAATTGCTCGATCGGTCGCTACCAGAAACAAATCTCTTGTTAATGTAGCCAACATTGCTGTTCCTTCTAAGGGAATCCTCAGTTTTTACGTCGTCTTCCTTTTGGCTATTCAACCTGTGAAAATCCATTGAACGTCTTGAAGAATTCTGTGATGGAGTTGTATATCCAGTACAATGTCCATCAGCTCGTGTAGTGTTGGTCCCAGTAGAATGACTTGAACTGTAACGTGGAGAATCAACATCTCCTACAGCTGCTGCAGATTTTTCTGCTAACAAAGCCGAGCTCTGTTGATTACTTTTTCCCCTCAACAGACTCCTGAGTTTACTCATGAATTTGATTTTGTTTGAACTTGGTTTGGCTGTTAACCGAGAATCAACAGCTGAATAATCCAAATCTCCAGGATCGGTATGAGAGGAAGCTTGCGAGGATGACCACTGATCTGAATCAAAATCCGTAAGGTTAATGCTCTTCCCTTCAATTCCTTCTGTATTTGCATATTCGAGTATGAGCTTCTTCGCTTTATGCTCGGATTTGGGACTTAATGTTTTGCTTAGGTCTCTTGCTGCTGTTTTCCCTGCTGCAGGCTGAAAATTCCGCAGTTCATATCTTAAGCAAGCATTAATCCAACGGAGATAGACTAGCTCTTCAACATCTGCACAACGGTGAGCTTGAAGCTGCTCGATTTCCTTCGTCAATGTCTTGTTTTCTTGTGCGAAACAGTCCCTTTCTTCTTTAAGTGATTCTTTCTGCATAAATTAGATGGGCATTGCATTAAATTTTTCGTCACCATACAATTGTATAATGGTAAAATAGCTATAGTAGCAATAAGAACATACTTCTTGGTCTTCCAAGATAGAATTTGCAAGAAACTGAGTAGCATCTAGTCTCCGACCGAGATCAGAATTTTCTTTTTGCAATCTCGAATTCACCTTCTTTAGCTCCTCGATCTCCTTCTCCAAATCTTCAATATTTTGCAGCTTGATTTGGTCATTTTTAGTGCTTTCATTTATCTTATATTCTTGGTCAAGCAGCTTAGTAACTCTTTGCTGAAGATTTACGATCTGTTCCCTGTTCTGTTCTGCTTCATGTCTAAGTTTTTTCTTGAGAAACTTAATTGTTGTTCTTGCAGCCTCGAGGTCGGATGCTGATTTTGCTTGGTCGGAAACTTGTGATTCTAATCGTCGATTATCCGCCTGAAGGGACTCAATCTTCAGAGTGAAAAGTTTAGCCTCCATATTGTTAATCTTCAGCCTATTTTGGAGCTCCATGACAGCAGTTTCTTGCTCTTTCAGACCATAATACTCAAGTAGCTGAACCTCAAGATTTCTCTCCCTTTCTCGAAGCATTTTCACCTTGCTTTTCAGGTGTTTGATCTCATGTTCATATCCATCCGTCTCGACCCTTTTATAAGCTTTCGGAGTTTCGATCCCCGACCTCAGTTCTCCAGCATTTTTCTTGGGAGAAAACCCAGCATTTGCTGCTGAAAGATCAAATTGCTTGACAAGTTCCTGAAACTCTGGGAGAAGCATCCCTTCTTTATCTACAATGTGATCATTTCCAGTGGAGAAACCAGCAGCATTTGAATCATCACCATTGGCTTTCTGAATACACATTTCTTCCTGAGAAAGATATCAAACACATAACATGAAGCCAGCTTATGTCTATAATCACAGACCAACATGCTGAAAACAAATGATCGCCTATGTCAATGGGTTTAGGGTTCATAACACAAAATTTGGTTTCTGAACTTCTTGAACATTCCAAGTCTAAGTTGTTCATATTACCAAAATTCAGCGAACTCACATAGGCATCAGCTGCAAGAATAATAGCATTAGAGGATGCTGCTGTAGCTACCTTCATTGTTTGATCATCAAGTTTATGGCCTCTTCCTGTTCCCAACTCAACTTTATTATTACCCCATTCATCTGCTAAAAGCAAGTGAAATATATAATTCAAGAATATATTGATGAAGCATAAGAGATTGAATGGAAGAACCTGAAGAACTGGAGGAGGGAGGAGCCAGAGAAGGTCTTTTGTTCCTGATTCTAAAGCGGGAATACATAAAACTAGCAAAAGAGATAGCCAGAACAACACCAAATTTGAACAACACAGGCTTCACCAAATCCGTCTTCTCCTCCATCATTGAATATGAAGAACGCTTGATTGAAAATCAACTTGATGAACTGAATGACCAGAAGATATCATAGGTCGTCGTCTTCATCATCCTCCATCTGTATAAACAAAAGAATGATTGAATACATCGAAAAATCCGCCGAAACCCATTTCAGATTCAGAAGAATCAGGCGAAATCAGTGGGAGCTTACTTTGATTTTGTAAGAGAAAAGCATTTGGGGACGCAAGAAATCAGTGGGGGGAGTTATGCTTCTTCGACGCTTGCCTGATCGCTACGGTATGTGTTTGTATTGGGTGCTTTTTCGTTCGTGTCATAGGCTGATTAAACACGAATTCCCAGCATAGAAAATTCCAATAAGAATCTCTTTTTGCTTCCTTTATTCGTTTTTGCCGTCGTCGTCTTTATGGTTATGTGATGGCGTGATGTTGACTTGAAGAAGGGTCTAACCCAGAAGGATTTGGTTGATGGAACAGGGGAAGAAGAACACAGGGGAAGAAAGCGGGGATAATCTGAAGCAACAAAAAATGGGGGAATATGAGGAAGGAGATGGATTGTTTTAGGGGGAAGTGCTTAATTTAGAATCGTTTTCTGTAATCTTCAAATTCCCTAATTTTCCCTCCTTTTTCTGTTTGTTCTTCATCTTCTCCCTTTTTTGGCGTAACAACAAATTTCCTCTCTATTTTCATTGGAAGGCTGTTGGTAGATAAAGATTCTTATTTTAGGATCGTGCTATCTAAATAATTCAAAGTATGTATTTGAATATCATTCCAAATACAAGTTGAGTCATTGAGTAATTGTTCAACCACTTGAACCTTTATGATTGAGTAACCCAAAAAAATGAAGGTAATCACTTCAACCTTTACAATGGAGTATTTCCAATCAAAGACTATCTCTCCTCTAACTTTTCATACCCTTTTCCCAAAAATACCTTAGCCACAAGTGTATATCACAATAATGGAAAAAGAAACATAAAAATAGTACATTTACCTATAAGTTATATCTTCCATCCTCCTTTTCTTTTATCATAATTTCATTTCTAGATATTTCGTGCCATTATTTAGCTTTGAGTTAGAAATTAAATGTCGAAAATTTTATATTAGTTACGAGGAAATTATGTCATGATCAATAGCCATTCAAATAAATAAATATAAGAATCAACTAAACTTGGTCTAAAAATAATTGTGAACAAAATTAAAGAAAAAAAAAGAGTAAATACAGAGAAAAAGAAAATGAAAGGTTTGGAGATAGTTAAATTCTTTTTTAAAATTGTTTGTATGATTCAAGCAACATGAAATAATATTCACATGTTTCATGTGCTGACGTTATATGATGATGTAATGATGTACATGAAGATGATAATATGATCATGATCATGATAACATGAAGATGTAAGATATATGACGATGAAATGACTTAATATGATGATATTTCATATTAAGATGATGTGCATGTATTAAATACCATGATGATGTTAATGATGATGAACGTATGAAAGCTAGTGAATGCATGTTAGGATAATGTGTGAATGATGTATAGGATTGTGTCACAATAATGATTTAAATATGAGAACTATAGGGACCTCTTGCATATTGTGTGTTCATATACGTCGGGTTACCTTCCCATTTATGATGATGAGGACGAACGCGTACACTATGATGATGATTATCATCATGCCTCGCATTATACTTGGGGTTTTGGTATTCACTGGACGTCCGACTATGAACAAGTAAGCCGACTATGATGGGTCGAGGGGTGCGAATTGCAAGAAGACTCATGCTCACATGTGTTGATCGTGTGTAGAGTAGTACTATGCATCCAAAACAAATTTATTGAGAATTGAATACAAAATTGAACACAACCCTAAAACGAAAGTTAGCATTAAGTCTCTTCCAATCCTAAAAACTAAAGGTTTAAGCTCAATCTATGCTCAAGTCCAATGCATGAGAAAAGAAAAATATAGTGAGCATTTGAAGGTTTAAAAACCCTCCTCACTCTCAATCTCAAACACTCTATATCCAAATCCAAATTCAAACCCAAATACACGGCGGAGAAAGCAGTGCATTGGGGTCTGTTGCAGTGGTCGACCGAGAGTGATTCAAAGTCCAGAGTGCTAACAACTATACCATAGAACCACACACCTGCATCATTGAGTAACTCTAAAAGGTGACGGTTGAGTTAGAACTAGTAGATTCAAAGTTGAAAGTACTTATCACTACCCACCACTACTCTAAAGGTGAAAGTCCTACTAAGAATCAAACTCAAGTCGTTGGATTCATTCGAGTGCTAACTACTACAACATAGAACCACATACTTTATTATTAAGTCTAAAAGGGGAAGGTCTTACTGGAAGTCGAACCCAGGTCGTTGGATAGTGCTAACTAAAGAGTAAGGTCCTACTAGGAGTTAAACACACTACACCATAAAACCACACACTTTTATCATTAAGTAAGTCTAGAAGGTGAAGGTCCTACCAGGAGTCAAACTCAAGTCGCTGGATTTAAAGTCAAGAGTACTAATCACTACACCATAGAACTACATGCCATTATCAAGGAGTAACTCTAAAAGGTGAAGGTTCTACCGGAAGTCAAACCCAAGTCGCTGGATTCAAAGTCGAACCACCATACATCTTTATCATTGGTGAAATGTGATTCGTTTTAAACTTTTATATAAGATTTAAGGGTATTTTTGAAGTTTTTGAAAAAAGAATTAAAGAGTATTAATGATACTTTAAAAAAATAAAATTAACCGAACTTTTTTTTAGACTTTTTAAGTCTTAAAGGTATATTGGAAACTCTTTGACATATATTTTTATTAAGAAAAAGAAGTGGTCTTGGATTTGAAATTTGGATTTAGGATGATTACAACATTCCTTTGCACCCCTAATAATATGATTAGGCTATCTATAAGAATCTCAATAGTTCTATCATTCAAGGGTAAGGTCAAGTATGAGTTCATCTATGTAATCGAAAACGGTGAGATCTCACATTAGTTAGAGAAGAATAAATCACTCTTTACAAAAGTGTAGAAATCCAGAAAGGAAAGTTCAAAGACGACAATATCTAATAGCGGTGGGCTTGGTCTGAATAACTCCTTACAAAGGTGTAGAAATGCAGAAGGGAAAGTCCAAAGATGACAATATCTGCTCGTTGTGGGCTTGGTCTGTTACAAATAGCATCAAAGTCAGACTCCGAGTGGTGTGCCTACGAGGGCGCTGGACCCCCAAGAAGTGGATTGCGAGATCCCACATCGGTTGGAGAAGGGAACGAAGTACTGTGGAAGTCTCCTAAACACATTTTAAAACCCAAAAAAGACGATACAGGAGAACAATATCTGCTAAGTGTGGACTTCGACTTCCAAACAAAACCCAACTTAGAAACCCACCCAGTTGACCTTTAAACATTTATTATTATTCAATAGAAAACCAGGCCAAGTCCAAGTCAACTGCCAAAACATAATGATGCAGATGTTTGGGTAGATATTCTCTGTCCACAAGCAAAACATTTAGCTTTATTTGCAACAATATACCTTCAGTTTATGCTGACAACCAATCTAAGTTGTTATCTGCACCAAATCTGAGAGAAATTCCAAAGGCAGATGATGAACACAAGAACAAGATGCTTACTGGTTTCTCTAGCTCTTGTACTAGCTGTTCAAGCTCAAGATCAATCAGGTAAATCCTGTTCTTCATACCACTACAAAATCTGTATAAACATTCTTTAAACTCTCTTTGGCTCATATAATCTCTCAGGTTTTATAAGCTTGGATTGCGGATTACCAGCAAACTCAAGATACAAAGAATCAAAGACAAACATAAACTACATGTCAGATGCAGCTTACATAAACAGTGGTGAAAGCCAGAGCATAAACTCAACGTTCAAAAGCTTATTTGATAGACAACTACAGTCCCTTCGAAGCTTTCCTCAAGGCATCAGGAACTGCTACAATATAAGCAATATTATCAGTGAAAGGAAATACTTGATTCGAGCAAGCTTCTTGTATGGAAATTATGATGGGTTGAGTAGCTTACCAATCTTTGAACTCTACTTTGGAGATAGCTTGTGGGTTAAAGTGGAGAATTTGTTTGAATATGTTGAGACCTACAAAGAAATTATACATATTCCATCAGCAAATAGAGTGCAAATCTGTTTGATTAATACAGGAAATGGAGCACCTTTCATCTCTGCATTGGAGTTTAGACCTTTACCTGATGAATCTTACCCAATTCAGTTTGGATCCTTCTTGAATTTTGTTCGTTTGGATATGGGGTCAGTAACGAATGTATCATACAGGTGAGTTCTTATTGATTCATCAAATTTGATAGGAATTGCGTTATATCATGAATTCCACTTCGATTGGAGAGTGGATTCTAAAGGGGTGGATTGCGAGATCCGACATCGATTGGAGAGATGAATGAGTGTCTAATGAGGACGTTGGGCTCCGAAGGGGGTGGATTGTGAGATCCCACATCAGTTCGATAAGGGAACAAAGCATTTTTTATAAGAGTGTGGAAACTTCTCCCTAGCATACGCATTTTAAAAACCTTGAGAGAAGGCCCAAAAGAAAAAGCTCAAAGAAGACAATATCTGCTAGTGGTGGGCTTGAACTATTAGTAATGGTATCAGAGTCAGGTTCCGGGTGATGTGCCAACGAGGAGGCTGAGCCTCGAAGGGGAGTGGATTATGAGATCTCACACCAACCGAGGAGAACGAAACATTCTTTATAAGGGTGTGGAAACCTCTCCCTAGCAAACGTGTATTAAAAACCTTGAGGGGAAACATGAAAGAAAAAGCCCAAAAAGAACAATATCTGCTAGCGGTAGGCTTAGGCTATTACATTTCTTCTTTTGAGTGCGTGCCTTTGTTTCAGGTACCCTTACGATGTTTTCGATCGAATTTGGAGTCCTTTCAATAACAAGAACTTCAGACAATTAAATACCTCTCTTACTATAGATGCCAAGGACCACACCCTGCATCATCCAGCAGCCATTGTGATGGGAACTGCCATAACCCCAAAGAATGCAACTCAATCTATTGAACTTTGGTGGGAATCAGATGATGAAAATACTCAATATTATATATATCTTCACTTTGCTGAGTTAGTAGAGCTTCAACCAAAACAATTCAGGGGCTTCAACATCAGTCATAATGGAGAATATTGGGGTGGACCTATTGTTCCTGATTACTTGTATACAAGCAGCATTTATAGCACTAAACCATTGGGATTCCCTCAAAAGCAACACAAATTTTCATTCTTTCGAACTGAGAATTCAACACTTCCTCCAATAATCAATGGATTAGAAGTTTATTACCAAATTCAAGTCTCAGAATTAGAATCAGATCAAGGAGATGGTACGTTGATTTAACTTTCTGGGGTACTGAAATTTGAACTTGTTTGTTGATTTCATGAATGGATTGTACTGAAAAATAGTGGATGCAATGAGGAAAATAAAGTCAATTTATGGAGTAATGAAAGATTGGGAAGGAGATCCATGTATCCCGAGAGCATATCCTTGGAGTGGTGTAGGTTGTACCAATGAGTCAATCCCAAGAATCACATCACTGTGAGTAGCATGCTTTGTTTAGAAAGTTACCTTATCGTTTAAGTTTGCTATCCAACAGAACATGTTGAGATGAATGAACTGATATCAATTTTATAGGAACTTGTCATCAAGTGGTTTGACAGGTGACATATCTCCAGATATCTCTGATCTAACAGCCTTAGAAACTCTGTAAGTATCTCTCGTTTAAATGATAACTAAACTGGAATCTCTAGATTCATTGTTCATGAGATCCTACGTCGATTGGGGAGAAAAACGAAGCATCCTTTATTAAGGGTGTGGAAACCTCTCCCTAGCAGACGCGTTTTAAAAACCTTGAGGGGAAGCCTGAAAAGGGAAACCCGAAGAGAACAATATCTACTGGCGGTGGGCTTGGGATGTTAAAAATGGTATCAGAGTCAGACACCAGGCGATGTGGCAGCGAGGAGGCTGAGCCCCCAAAGGGGGTGGACGCGAGGCAGTGCAACAGCGAGGACGCTAGGCCCTAAAGGGTGGTGGATTGTGAGATCCCACGTCGGTTGGAGAGAAGAACGAAACATTCTTTATAAGAGTGCAGAAACCTCTCCCTAGCAAACGCGTTTTAAAAATCTGGAAAACCCAGAAAAGAAAACTGAAAGAGGACAATATCTGCTAGCAATGGGCTTGGTCGTTACCATGTCTATCTTAAAACCAATTACAACAAATTGAGTTTGAATCTCAGGGACTTGTCAAACAACAGCTTAACAGGAGAACTGCCTGATGCTCTATCAAAACTGTCAAACCTCAAAGTTCTGTAAGTTACTTCAGCTGAAAAAATAAAGTCAAAGAACCAAGCAGTTTGTCGGATGATTGAATTTCTTTGGTCTATTCCCAGAAACTTGGAGAACAACAATCTCTCATGTCCACTTCCACCTGAACTCATAAGAAGACTCAATGATAGCTTACTATCATTACGGTCTCTTTCTTGGACCATCATAACTTATAAATAATTTTCAATTCAAAGCTGTAAGTCTAACATGTCAGCTTATGAAAATCTAATCATGACAGCATGAAAGGCAATCCAAATCTAGAAGCACATTCTTTAGTTCAATGCACCGGAAAGCAGGAAGAGGAGAAACATAAGGAGAAGAACAAGTTCATCATTCCAGTAGTAGCATCAGTGGGAGGCGTGCTTGCCATTGCCACCATTGCAGGGGCTGTCTTTTGTATAGCTAGAACAAAAAGGAAAGAAGAAGATAAAGAGGTCTTGGAGGTTGGTAGCAGTTCATTGGAAACTAGAAGGCAGCAGTTTACTTATTCTGAAGTTGTGAAAATGACCAACAATTTTGAGAAGATTCTTGGTAGAGGTAGCTTTGGAGCGGTTTACCATGGGTTGGTTGATGATATTCAAGTGGCTGTGAAGATGATAGCTCCATCAGCAATACAAAGCAACGATCAATTTAAAGCAGAGGAATGTAGTATTTGGATATTCTCATAAAAAAGTTAGCTCACAGTTGTTTATAAGACTAAAAAGATGCTATTTTCATACAGGTTACCACACTTCTTAGAGTTCACCACAGGAACTTGACAAGCCTTGTAGGGTACTTGAACGAAGGAACTCACCTTGGCCTCGTTTATGAGTATATGGACAACGGAAGCTTAGCACAGCGCCTTTCTGGTAATCTTCCTGCCCTTAGCAAATATTTGAAACAAGTTATATTGAAAATCTTAGATCCATTTCAGTTTAAAAAAATGAAAATTTGAGGTTTTCTACTTGCTTTTCATTGAATATGCAGAGATGGGTTCAGGAGTCATAAGTTGGGAAGATAGACTACGAATAGCTATGGATGCAGCTCAAGGTGTGTTTTCATTCAAACATCTTCACATAATAGCACAATCTCCCTGCTAGTAGATATTGTCCACTTTGGCTCGTTATGTATTGTTGTAAGCCTCACGATTTTAAAATGCGTCTGCTAGGGAGAGGTTTTCACACCTTTATAAGAAATGTTTTGTTCCCTTCTCCAACCAATGTAGCACAAGTTCACGGTGTCTAGCTGTGATACCATTTGTAATAGCTCAAACTCACCGCTAATAGATATTGTCCGTTTTGGCTCGTTACGTATGGCCGTAAGCCTCACGGGTTTTAGACGCATTTTAAAAACCTTGAGAGGAAGCCCGGAAGGGAGAGCATGAAGAGGACAATATCTGCCAACGGTAGACTTGGACTGTTACAAATGGTATCAGAGCTAGACACTGAGCATTACTTCCGCTGGGCCCCTAAGGAGGGTGGATTGCGAGACCCCACATTGTTTGGAGAGGGAAACAAAGCATTACTTAGAAAGGTGTGGACACCTCTCCTTAGTAGACACGTTTTAAAAACCTTGAGTAGAAGCCCAAAAGGAATGCTAAAAAAAGACAATATCTACTAGCGGTGGACTTGGGCTTGGGTTGTTACACATCCCGAATCAGCATATTTTTTTTGTTTTACGCCCTGTAATTCGATCTACTAAAAACTAAAAACCTGCAGGGCTTGAGTATCTACACTATGGTTGTAAGCCTCCATTAGTCCATGGAAATATGAAACCAACAAACATCTTGTTAACCAAAAATTTTCGAGCTAAGCTTTCCGACTTCGGTATCTCTAAGAGCTACCCAACCGATGATAAGACCGGTTATCTCGACCCGGAGTAAGTACTAACTTCAAACATTCCTCAATGGTGTCATTTATTTTTCTCTTAAAAGAACAATCTATAGAGATAAATTTTGAACAAACTTCATGGATTGACTCTCAGGTATAGAACATCAAACAGGCCAAGTCCAAAAAGTGATGTGTATAGCTTTGGGGTTACTTTGTTGGAGATGGTGAGCTGCAAACCAGTGATATCAAAATCTCAAGGCCAGGATTCAGTTCATATAATTAAATGGGTTGGTTCCATGGCTGCACAAGGTGATATTATGAACATAGTAGATCCAATATTAAAAGGAGAATATAGTATGAACTCTGTCCGGAAAGCATTGGAAGTAGCAATGGCTTGTGTATCAGTGAATGCCGGGAGAAGGCCAACAATGAGTCAAGTGGTGAAAGAACTGAAAAGTTGCTTGGCTGCAGAAATGAGCCGAACACCGGATAGCCACCCTCCTTATTCGACTGAGTCCATTGAAATGACATCCATCTTTATGGTGTTGCCCCCTCGACCGGGTCCCGTGGCGAGGTGAATTTTGTTGGAACGTCGTCGTCTTCCTCCTCCTCCTCCCTGTTCCTTTGGTCTTGGATTTTCCCTTCCAGAATTTATCAAAGTTGTTGGATTTGATCATTAGGCTGTTGAAACCTGAAATGTACAAATTTTGCTTTCAACTTGAACAGTAACCTCTTCTTTGTAGAATATATGTAAATAAGTGTGTCCAGGTATGATAAGCTCTCGTTGCTTTACTTTTGGTTTCCTCAAAAAGTGTCGTACCAATGGAGATAGTATTCCTTACTTATAAACCCATGATCTTCCTCTTAATTAACTAATATGAGACTTTTCTCCCAACAATCCTCCCCTCGAACAAAGTACACCAGAGTCTCCCATGAGGCCTATGGATCCCTCGAACAACCTTTCCTTAATCAAGGCTCGACTCCTCTTTAGAGCCCTTGAACAAAGTACACTCTTTATTCGACACTTGAGTCACTTTTGACTACATCTTCGAGACTCACAACTTTTATGTTCGACAATTGAGAATTCTATTGACTTGGCTAAGTTAAGGGCATGACTCTGATACTATGTTCAATATCACGACCTCCACAATAGTATGATATTGTCACTTTGAGCATAAGCTCTCATGGGTTTACTTTTGGTTTCCTCAAAAGGTATCATACCAATGGAGATAGTATTTCTTAATTATAAACCCATGATCTTCTCCTTAATTAGCCAACATGAGACTTCTCTCCCAACAATTCTCAACAATCCTCTCATCGAACAAAGTACACCATAGAGTCTCCCTTGAGGCCAATGGAGCTCACGAACAGCCTCCCCTTAATCGAGGCTCAACTCCTTCTCTAAAGCCCTCGAATAAAGTACACTATTTGTTTAAAACTTGAATCACTTTTGACAACACCTTGGGTCTCACAACTTCTTTGTTTGACACTTGAGGATTCTATTGACATGACTAAGTTAAGGGCATGACTCTAATACCATTTTCAAAATCACGGACCTCCACAAATAGTATGATATTGTCCACTTTGAACATAAACTCTCATAAGAAATACACATCTCCATTGGTATGAGGCCTTTATACTTAAAAGTGAATAATATTATATCATTGTAAAAGCCCTTATAGCTCAGTGGTAGAGCGTTAGTCTTGTAAATTGAAGGTCCATAGTTAAATCCTGCGTGAGGACAAAAATATGTATTCGTAAGTATATCATAAATTTTATAAAGTGGTTGGACATCTACATTGGTATGAGGTCTTTATATTCAAAGTGCATAATATGATATCATTGTAGAAGCCCTTATAGCTCAATGGTAGAGTGTCAGTCTTGTAAACTAAAGGTACGTGGGCAAAAATTAGTATGAGGTCTTTTTTGGAACCGAAACAAGCCTATCTCTATTGTTACGATCAGGATAAGCAAGACATATAACTTAGATTTGAAAAATAAATTTGGCAGATACACATATGCATCCAGAAAGAATGACCTCCAAATCTTGTTTTCCGGGGGAACAAAACAACCTACCCGGTATTAACCACCGCAAGACAGACCAATAAGAGATCAACACGTGTCCTTTGACAATTCATTTCAAGACTTTTTTCTCAACAACACCCTATGTGATGTCTCCATTGGTTAGACAAAGTCAACTGTCGGAAAGCCTACAAAATAAGAGTCCAATTAAATGGCCCAAAACAATAATAATAAAAAACAATATCTTTTTCTTTGCCCTCCTCTAAAGTTTGTTACTTTGGAATGGGCCCACATCCTTTATGACAAAACCAAACCAAACCAAACCAAACCAAACCAAACCAATCCAATCCAATCCAAATGAATGGTTAAATGCCCCAACCCCACACCCCACAACACATGATCGCATCATCAATATCAATTTGCATCCTTCCAATCAATGAATGAATTCCCAAATATCTCCCCTTTTTTGGGTATTTTTCTTTGAGCATTAAACAAAAGAGCGGGTTCGAGCGAAGGATGATCAAGTTGTCACAAGAAGTGTTTGATAGACATGATCTTATTGCAAGTTACGATATTCGAGTGTTGACAATCCAGCCCAGGCTTCGGTTGTGAAGTCTATTTAAGTTACTGGAATCACCAACTCAACCATCCCGAAATTTTTGGTTGATCCAAAAGATTTCCCCACCCCAACCTACCTGTGCACACTCCTACCAAATTTGTTAGGTTGAAATAAAACTGCTCAAAAGGTCAAACAAAAGGTCGAACTAAGATCCTAAGAAATCCGAGTGGTAATTACTCCGATTCTCTTCATAAACTAAACAAGGTTAGGAGAAACCATAGTGGCAAGAGAGAGATAGAAGAAGATTTAATAGGAAGGCAAAAAAGAAGGAGAAAGCATGTGGATACCAATAAATTTGGGTTGATTCCCAAGAGCACGCTTTGGATTGAATCAAGGAGACCACCCCACTGACTTTGGCTCTCATTTCCAAACAGAATGTTTCAAAAGCATTGGTAATAACACTTATAAAATTGAATCAAAACACATTACAATTGTTATTACAAAGTAAAAAGTTTGATTCTTTTTCAATTACAAACACAAAGCTTCAAAAGTAACATTCACTTTCAACTTAATCATATTGTTATTATTACTAACCTTTTCCCTCTGCTACTCACAAAAAGTTAAACGCTTAATCAATCCATCATCATTCTAAAACAACCAACTCTTACATTTTCACTTCTAAGGATATGATTCGTTCGTAGTTGATGTGTTACAATGTTGTTATAATCGAACTTGTTGTAACATGATATAGTGTAACAGTCAAACTCCATCGCTAGTAGATATTGTTCTCTTTAGACTTTCTCTTATACATTTCTTTTCAAGGTTTTTAAACGTGTCTACTAGGGAGAGGTTTTCACGCCCTTATAAAGAATGTTTCGTTCTCCTCTCCAACTGATGTGGGATCTTACAATCCATCCTCTTTCGAGGCTCAGCGTCTTTGTTGGCACTCGTTCCCCTCTCCAATCGACATGGGATCTCACAATTAGAGTAAGAGGTTTGTATTTGAATTTGTGTTAATATTGATTTTCGCTAATTGGGTCTTCTTCAAATTTTGAAGTTCAATAACGAAAGACGTTAGTCGGTGATTTGGGAAGATTTACGAACACTCGTGCTTATTACTCGACAACGTAGGAACAAATGGAGTATCAGTATTCTAATGATCTAAGTTAATGTGAATTTATTGGTTTAATATTGAAGATTGAAACATGAAGAAGCAAAGTGAAGGTACAATATCAGTTCAGTTTTGGGGAAATTGGTCATGGGATAATGATGAAGATGATTGTATGGGAAAAGAAGGGTTGAAAGAAAAAGCTAAGCTAGTTGAAGGGCAGTTCAAAGATTCAATCTTTTGCCCAAGATTCTCTAAAGCTTTGATCTGAGACTTCAAGAACTTGAGATAATTTGCAGCTTCATCAAGCATTGATGCAGTATCCATTTTGTCCCCACCAGGAACAAGCCTTTGCAAAACCCTAATTCTTTCACTGATTCTCTCTCTCCTTTGCCTTGCTGCTACTGTTTGTGGGTCTGTTGAGATCCTCATGTTCTTCCTTTTGGGCTTTTCTATCCCTTCTACCCCCAAATTCACTGGCCTCAAAGCTGCTGCTCTGTATATCATTTCCTTCATTTGTGCTATGGCTTCTGGGTCAGGCTCTTGATCAATACATGATGATCCTGATGAACATGATTGTTGGAAGTTGATGTTTGATGAACTTGGTGGCTTTTCTGATCTGGGTTTCTTTGATTTTGGTTGATTTTGATCTGTTATGATCCTAAACCCTCCACTGTTTGAAGTTGAATTAGAGAGATTCTTGATGGTGTTGGAAAAAACAGAGTAATCTGTAGATTCTTGATGGGTTCTCTTTGTAGTTGCTGCATTGCTTCCAAAGTTCCATAAATTTGTGTAATCTGTTAAGATCATTGGCACTGATCCATCATTATCTTCAACTGATGTGTCTGTGTTGCTATTTGTAGCTGAAAGCAAGCAGTCCAATGACTCGAGAGAGCACGCTGTAACCGACGTCGATTTACCGTCGTCGAACCCATAGGGTGCAATAGCATCCATGTCTTTGGATGTTGCAAAGCTTGTCAATGGAGGGCTCATTGGGAGATCTTGAACTGAGTTGAAGAAGTGAGAATTTGAATTGGATATCATGAACCTTTCTTCAACTCCTTGTTGGTAATTGCTCCAAAACGACACCGGCGACGTCATGTTTGTTGTTGCAACTCTCGACCTATATCCATCCCGGTTCAAATAATCCATTACTACTACTTCAACTTCCTGAAACATATTACACAAAGTCGTTTCTCGTTTCTTGTTTCTTGTTTCTAAAGAAGAATTCACGAAACTTACCGAAAAAGACCGATCTGTCGGGCTCGAGCTCGAGCTCTTTCCCTCAGCTATTCAAACTCCTCCTTTTGTACATTCTTGACCAACTCTTTCCTAATTTGGAAAATGGTGAGGAAACTAAGACAATAGGAACAAGACACAGCTATTGCTTATGTCATTTTGTTGACAACTAATGTTTGGAAATGGAAAGAGAAACTCCAAAACAAGAAAAAAAAAGGGAAAGCCGAGCGAAAATCAAAACATCGCAAACAAGAACATAGAACAAGAACAAGAACACAAACATGAACATGAACAAGAACATAGAAAAACACGAGAATTTTGTACTTTGGAGGGCCGAAGAAAGGTTTGGTTTTTAAAGGAGGGAGTGAAAAGAAAAGTATGGAAAGGGAAGGGTATAAATGCAAACAAAATATTGGTAATGGTACTTTGAAGATGCAAAAAATGTGCAAAAGGGGAAGAAAGGAAAAATAATAAAATTAAATTAAAATAAACCGTTGACAGAAATATAATGCCTTTGAAAAAGATAAGCTTTTTTTTATTATTTTATTTATTTATTTATTATTATTATTATTATTATTATTTGTCAGTTTGGTGGGAGAAGAATAAGATTTCAGTGATTCATTTTTTATTCTAACCTATATTGGAAAATGGAATTTTCTTTTTAATATTATAATATTTTTATTTTTCTATTTTTAAATTTCCAAATATTTTAACCTGATTTGGGGTAAAGTTGTAATTTTGACTGACTAAAAGCATCTTTCTGCAAAATAATAATAATAATAATAATAATAATAAACTTTTTTGTATTAATCATAGCTTTACCTTTTCTCTTTTG